CCATGGGATCCCACAGCACACTCTCTCGGCTCCTTGCTTAATGCCAGGAGGATGACAGGTCACATCTTGCGCCTTTCTGAGGCCTGTCTGGGCCGAGCTGTGCTGTGACGATAGTGGAATGACTGGGCTATTTGAGGGGTTGGGGACTTGGCAGCTGGAGCAATGTTGTGCACAAATGGCTGAACTGGCAGGGGTTTGGCAGACCTACAGCAATCCCTAATCCAGCCCTGCCGCCCTAGGTGCCCATGTCACGCAGGAGCAGTGCCGTGTGGGGGCTGGAAAGATCCCCTGTGCGGATGCCTCAGACTACACTGCTTGCATGCAGGCTGGCTGCTGTTACGATGAGACGGACCCAACAACTCCCTGCTACTATGGCAACACAGGTAGGAGACCTGCTCCCATGTTGGCTCGTGTGGGGGGAAGTGGGGAGAGACCGAGCCTGGGTGCTCTGCCCCGGAAAGCCTGGCAACACTCAGGCCAGGTTTGCAGTAAATGTTCTCAAGCGTGGAAGCGCGTGCACACACCAGCAAGTGCAGCACGTTCTAGTGCTGTAAAGCACCCGTGTGAACCGGGTCCCGGCACTAGATGTGCCCCTCATTTTGACGGCTTACAGAGCACATTGCAAGGGCGCGATCGGTGCTGGCGCTGTGGCTGGGCTTCCAGTCTAGACCACTGCCACCTGCTAGGAGAGGTCGCCACGTGAGTAAATGGTGACCTAGGCTGCCCTCCAACTTCTGCTCTAGTACTCCCTCCGATGGAAACTCCTGCAATGTGGCCTGACTCCGGACTGCGGTCACTGTCAGCTGTGTGCAGACTGGGTTACTTTCCGGAGAGTGGCCTTGCTGCTCCGACCTTGAGACTTTTCTGGAAGAAAGCAGCCAGTGAGCCTTGTCTGGCCTTGGCAGATCTGAGAGTAAGGAAAAGGCCGTGTATGTGGATCCTACATGACCGATATCTGCCACCTCACTAGGAACCCAATTTTCTAGCTCCAGGGAGTTACGTTGTGGGTTAGTCTGGCCCAGAACCTGCTGGTTCTGCCAGATTCAAGTGCCTCCTCTGCAAGGCATGTGAAGTATTAATGCACACCTTAACAACAATGCCCATAAAAACCAGGGTGAGATCCAGGACTCTTGCTCCTTAGTGTTCCAGATCTATTGTCCTATGTCCTCTGGACTTAACCTGCTCCCCTGTCTTGCAGTCACTATTCAGTGCCTCCTGGATGGTCACTTTATTCTGGTGGTCTCCAGGGACATGTCTGCCCACCCCATCGTTCTGGACAGTGTCCGGCTAGCCTACGCCCAGACTGGGTGTGATCCCATCAGGAAGATACTTTCCCTTCACACAGTGCGGCACCACAGCTCAGGTGAGGAGATGCCCCCAGGACTCCAGAGTGAGAGCTCTGCTAAGGGCCTTGGGGGACTAATTTGCCCCATGTCTAACCTGCCAGGTGATTGGGGACAAACTGATCTATGAGAACCAGCTGATCTCTGGCATCGACATCCGAACGGGGCCAAGTGGCTCCATCACCCGGGACAGCCCCTTCATGTGAGTTGGCCTGGCTAGTGTGGGAGAAATGATTCCAACCTTCCCCGTATCTGAAGGGGAAGGCAATAGGCTGTTTCATTGAATAGGGAGACGTTGTGACTTCCTCCGTTGGGGTTACCCGGGCCTCAGCCCTTCCAGCAGCTTTGAATGCCTCCATTGCAGGCACTCACTGGGCCTGATTCTGTTTGTCTCCAGTGCTAAAACTCACAGGCAGACGCAGCCTTGGCTCAGTCTGAATTCACTGAGCATCAGCCTCCTCCCTCTGCTCTCTCCTCTGCAGCCTCCATGCTCGCTGCATCTACAATGCCAGTGACTTCCTGCCACTGCAGGTTCAGATCTTCCTGCCCCCCTCACCTGCTCCAGTCACCCAGGAAGGACCCCTCCACCTTGAGCTGCGCATTGCCACAGGTAGGCAGCCCCCCTCGCTCCAGGGCAGAGATCCCAGCCCCTGGAGGGCCCCAGTCTCTCAGCTCTGCTCTCCCCTGCAGACCTGAGCTACACATCCTACCTTGAGGAGGGAGACTACCCTGTGCTGAAGGTGCTCAGAGACCTGATCTACGTGGAGGTTCGCATCCTGCAGAGAACAGACCCCGCCCTGGTCCTGGTTCTGCACCAGTGCTGGGCCACCCCCAGTGCGAACCCCCTGGAGCAGCCACAGTGGCCCATCCTGGTGGACGGGTGAGTGGCCGGAGGTGAAGGGATCATTGGTGCGCTCGAGCAGTGGCCAGCTGATTTTTAGAATTAAACCTTCCCCTCTGTTCCCAGGTGCCCGTTCCTGGGAGACAACTACAGAACCCAGCTTGTGCCCATGGGCCCGGCCTCCTCTGAGCTGCCCTTCCTGATGCACCACCAGCGCTTCGTCCTCTCCACCTTTGCCTTTGTGGACTCTGCTGCCCAGATGGTGCTTGAAGGACTGGTGAGAAGGGGCCTGGATCTAGAAGGGGTGGGGCAGGAGTTCCTATTTTAGTCAGGTGCAGAGCTTCAAGAAGCACTCCCAGATGGTGCTTGATGGACTGGTGAGGATGGCCAGGCAGTGACCTGCGCCCTTTGTGCCCCTCTCCAACTACTGTCCCCACCCTTGCATTTAGATGACTCCCTAACAGAGGGGGAGGGAGGGTCTCTACACAGTCTCTGGTGCTTCTAAATGACCATTGCTTGGATCTGGCACTGAGTCGTCCCCCAAAATGGGAACAGCATCATAGCTGCTTTAGGGACACTGCCCCTAACTAGCTGGATCCAGGCTGTATATCAGTGGTCACCATCCAGTCGATCGGGATCTACCAGTAGATCTTGGAGCCTCTGACAGGTGATCCTGACTGGTTTGGCCGGGAAGCTATTAAGAGCTGGCACTACAGTTGCCTATTTCTCTACTGTCATTCTACTCCTGTTCTCTGCCTTGGAGTTCCCCTTGGGAGCCTCCTGCTTGTCATGCAGGAGGGAGAAGGGGAGGTGCTGATGTCAGGGTGTCCTTCTCCCCCCACTCCTGTACCCTGTCTCCACACAGAGAGAAGAGGATGGTGGGAGCTTGGCAATGCAAATCTCTGTCACTCTCACACAGTGTGTGTTCCCCAGGCAAATGCAGTATCCCCTAGGCCACTCCAGAACCCACTCCACCTCCCTACCTTCAGCAGGTCCCTTATCCTGCTTTCCCAATGCAGGAGCCAGGTCCATCCCGGAGGCAGATTGGCAACCCTGGGGCAGCCTGTGTTGGCAGGACTCGACCCCATCACCCTGTGCTCCAGAGGCTGATGCCCTAACTCTGAGATCCCACTCCACCTCCTGCGGGTCCCTTATCCTGCCTTCCTAATGCGGGAGCCAGGTCCATCCCGGGGGCAGCAGATGTTGGCTGCCCATGTGGGTATAGGGATCGAGCCCACCTCCCTGTGTTTCAGAGGCTGATGCCCCTTAGTCCCCTCCAGAACCCAGCCTACCTTCAGAGTGTCCCCTCCCACATGCTCTACCCCTTTGCCCAAGACCAGTGCCTGGACTCCAACCCCAGCCTGGTGAAAATGAATGAGATTCGGGGAGCGAGCAGGGTGAGGCCTCGGAGAAGGGCTGGAGCAGCGGAGGGATCTCAGAGAATGGGGGGAAGAAACCTGGGTATTTGGCAAGGGTTGTGGGGTTTGAGGTAGATCTTACATTGCATCTAAATTGAAAAAGTGATCTTGTGGTTAAAAAGGTTGGGGACCACTGCTGTATATGAACAGTGATGAACATCTGAGATGCAGAGACTCCCAGTTAACTTCCTAGCTCCAGCTACCTAATGGATAATGCTTGCCAGGATTTCACCTGCATTGGAGGGAGTATCCACTTGCTAACCACACCTGATGCTAAATTTGCTACACCTGGGGGCTGTGTCTACACTGGCATGAATTTCCGGAACTGCTTAAAACGGAATACTATTCCGTTTTCAGTTTTTCCGGAAAAGGAGCGTCTACATTGGCAGGCTGCTTTTCCGGAAAAGCCCCTTTTCCAGAAAAGTGTCTGTGGCCAATGTAGACGCCCTTTTTCGGAAAAGAGCCCCGATCACCATTTTCGCAATCGGGGCTTTTTTCCGGAAAAGACTACTGGGCTGTCTACACTGGCCCTTTTCCGGAACAGTGTTCCGGAATAAGGACTTATGCCCGAGCGGGAGCAGAATAGTTTTTCCGGAATAGCCCGGAAATTCAAGGGCCAGCGTAGACAGCTCGCAGCTTATTCCAGAAAAGCGGCTGATTTTCCGGAATAAGTGGCCCAGTGTAGACACAGCCCAGATGTCTGGTTCCTTCACTGTGGACATAACCTAGTGCCCTTTGCTGGATGGAGTGTATTCTGGGAAGCAGCTTTCCAATGACCAGCGGCCCGTGAAGACTGTCCCTACTGCAGCTACACGAGTCCTATCACATGGTTTAAATGGAGCAGCTAGCAGTTCTGGAGCTAAAGATCCAAATTCCTTCCCTTGGTGCTGCCTATGTGCAGGGAAGCCAGTGACCAGCGTTACTACTTGCCGGCTCAGAGCTGCTCACGAATTCATTTTCCACTTGTGTGGTTTGCAGGTGTACCTCTTCTGCAGTGCCTCTGCCTGCCACCCCTCCCAGCTGGAGCCCTGCCAGACCATGTGCCCATCAGGGGCTGCTATAAGTAAGTTTCTGTGTACCAGTGGCAAGGTCTGCCATTGATCTGGGTTTGAGTGCTCCGCCCTACTCCTCCTCTCCACCTCAATATTTGGGTACAGCATGGGGGCATGTCACCCAGTGCCTTAACTGTCCCATTAGTCACTGCAATGTCAACTCAGCCAGAGATGCTAAGTGTGATCTGCTAGATTGGCTCGGTGCATTCTGCAATAGGAAGCAAGTGCCCAGGATAGATGGTATCTACTTGGTGACTGCACCCTTCTCCCCACCCCCATAGGAACTATAATGGGCCACTAGAATCCCCAGAGCAGATTTCAAATGGGGGTTAAAATTGCTGCCTCCCACCTGATCCCAACCCTCCAATGACCATCTCAGGAGGACTGCTCCACACATACTGAGCAGACGCCAACTAGAGTGGCCCCATCAAAAGCTCTCCAATACCAGGTGGAGGGTGCAGCATTTAGAGAACTCCCTAATTCTCTCTCCTCTCCATCTTCTAGGCCACCGGTTTCTGCATATTGGCAGTGGGACAGAGCCCCAGGACCTAGTGCGTTCTCATGGAACGCTGATCTTCCAGGAGAGTCCTGGGTCACACCGAGAGCACGTCTGACTACCCAGGTGAGTTGGCCTGCCGTTCTTGGCTGTTTGTCTTATTGATACTTGTAGTAGCCTGAAACGCTACTTTCCCTGTAGTACGTCTACATTGGCATGATTGCCTGTCTACACTGGCGGGGAATTCTTGCGCAAGTACACTGATGTTCTAATATGTGAAATCAGTGCTTCTTGTGCAAGAACTATGATGCTCCCGCTCAGCTATAAGCCCTCTTACGCAACTGTTCTAGTGCAAGAGGCCAGTGTAGACAGGCAACATGAATTTCTTGCGCAAGAAAAGCCCAATGGCTAAAATGGCCATCGGAGTTTCCTTGCGCAAGAGAGCGTCTACACTGGCACGGATGGTTTTGCGCAAAAGCGCATTTCTTGCGCAAAAGCACGTGCCAGCGTAGATGCTCTCTTGCACAAATACTTTAACGCAAAAACTCTTGCATTAAAAGTATTTGCGCAAAATCTTGCCAATGTAGATGTAGCCCATGTGTGGCCCCAGGAATGTATAACACACAGATGATCAATCATTCTTGCTGTTAATATCCCAGCTATGTTGACTGCTGTACTATCTTTTTCCACTCCTGGGAATCAGACCTTCCCTCATCCCATTTCCTCCCCCCCACCAAAAAAAATGTGGTGAGGGATGGAGGGTCAACCCATTCTTTGAAGCAAGCCAAAGCCCACTGGGGCATGAACCCCTTGATTTGCAAGCCAGGGACACAGAGCCCTGGTGTAGGCAGGATCAGTGCTGCCCTCTGCTGGAATCCTGCAAAGAACAGAAGTCTCCCCTAGTGCAGATGCTTGCCTGGTACGCTGAGCTGGTCAGGTGCAAGAACACATGGAAGGGGAGAAGGCCCAACCCACTGTTAATGGGTAGTAGTAACTTTAGGGCAGGGATCCTTACTCCTGCCTGCACTATCGTTTATGCGCACATCCACTGTATTGCCTAGCACCCTCTTCCTCTTCCCGCAGAGCCTGCCTCCAGACTGGACCCAGCTCCTGTGCTTCTGGCTGTGCACTCTCCCTGGGACCAGTGACCTCCCTCATTGCTGTGGCTCGGCTCTGCAGAAGGGGCCGGGTGACAAGATCCCAACACCTCCATCATGACTGTCAAACCAAGTAGGAAAATAAAATTGTGACCCACATTAACTGAGTGTGGTGGACTTTGTCTGGAAGGAGCCTACCGCCAGCAGCTGCTGTCTCTTCTGAAGAGATTGAGTTGTTCTTCTGCATAAAGCTCTAGGCCCTGCCCAGAATGGGATCTGCATTGGGCAGGGGCAGCCAGAGAATCTGCTGGGTGGACCTATAAGACTTCTCCTTCCTCGCCTGGGTCTAAGATGGAAACTACCTCTCCCTGGATGTCTTAGACTCCAGCCATCCTCAGGTAGGTTTAAGCCCAACTCCACTGGGCATAGTGCCAAAGTGGCAAGCCTCAGACAAGCTCTGGAAAAGGAATAGGGGCCAAACGTGGCTCCCCGTCTTCACTGTTTCCACCAGACTGGCTTTGGGGGCTTGGCACAGCAGCTAACAGCTGGCAGCATCTAGTCCCACCTCTAAAAGATCCTGTCCACTTCCACGTGATAGCCCCCTGCACAGTGCAGTCTCTAGGGGCTCCTTGTGCAGGCATGTTTTCATGCCTGATCAGCTGTTTGTCGGCAGAGCGGGGCAGCCATTTACATTTAAAATGAGGCTTCTGAGCCTGATCCCAGTAGGCACCAGGTGAGGCCATTCAATTAGGATTCATTTCAAGCAAAAGGGGTAGATAAATAGCTGGCAGAAATTCCATCACTGAGATTTAGCCAGACAGCTTCTGCTTTGGCTCACTGGTGCCTCAGAAGTGCAAACAAAGCCGTTCCTTTAAGGAACCCAGCCTCAGGCCTTCATTCATGCACCAAATAAATTACTAATCTCTTTCCTATAAATGGAAAGGTTCTTCTGACGTCAAAAAGCCAGCCCTACAGCCAGGTGAATATGGCTTAAGAGCTAACCCCAAAACCCAGGCTGATAGCCAACTACTAACTAAACCTTTTTAAAGAGTATTAAAAGATCACTAGACATGAGTTCAGTTCTTGCAGTTCACACCCAAGAACTGCAATGGGACCTGACTGAATAACAGGCAGCCAAGATCCCTGCTCATTCCAATAACCCCACACCACTGCCTGGAAGTTCACGGGAAGGCTTTTCCTAAACTCTTAGCCATAGCAATGGAAACGCCTGTATCTGTGCTAGGGGCGTGTCTGAGAAAGTAGGACTGCTAGCACTAGGGTAAATGCGCCTCTTCTCCATCCCCAACCATGTGTCACAGGCGGGTTTTCTCTAGGAGGCAGCAGTTGCACAGCAGCTGGCTCAGTACATTGGGAGGGCCTGGCCACACTTAACTAGCTCCTTGCTTGTGGATTTCAGGCATACATTTTCTGTAGCGCATCTACCTGTCACTCTTCTCAACAGGAGGCCTGCAGTACCACTTGTCCAGCAGGGGCTGCTACAAGTAAGTCTGAGTGATGTGAGGCAGTGGTATGCCAACCTCAGCTCACTATCTCTGGGGACCTAACTACCAGAAGTTGGCATGTTGTACAACTAAGATCTTACACCACAAGCACAGCCTGACTTCTCCCGAATCAGTATCTAGAGAAGGCGGGGGGGGGAAGGGGAGGAGGGCGGGGAGAGCTCTGGAAAAGGAATAGGGGCCAAACCTGGCTCCCCGTCTTCACTATTCCCACCAGACTGGCTTTGGGGGCTTGGCACAGCAGCTAACAGCTGGCAGCATCTAGTCCCACCTCTAAAAGATCCTGTCCACTTCCACGTGATAGCCCCCTGCACAGTGCAGTCTCTAGGGGCTCCTTGTGCAGGCATGTTTTCATGCCTGATCAGCTGTTTGTCGGCAGAGCGGGGCAGCCATTTACATTTAAAATGAAGCCACGATTATTTTAATCGCGGCTTCATTTCCCTTTTTTGAATAAACTAATCTACATGCCTCCGACGACGGAGACATGTAGTTTAGACGTACCCCTAGTGCCCTCTGCCATACAAATAAGTTACTACTCAGTTGGAACTGTTAGTGGCCTCATCTGGTGGTTAAAACAAGGACTGAGGCTTCAGATCTGCCACCCTCCAGTCCTAGTCCTGCTGTGACCTCTGCCATGTTTACTGTCACATGAAATTGCAATGCATTCTGTGCCTCCTCTGCAGATGACAGGTGGGGATTCATACTCTTAAAGGAGTTGTTGAGGTCATTAGCTGAGGAGAACATGAGAAATAGTAAAAGCCTGTCTCTATGAAGCTACAGCAAGTCCAGTGCAACAGCTGCTATCCCACAAACTCCAATGGGGTTGGCTAAATTTCACAGCTCAGCCATGCAGCAGGACTCTAATCAGCTGAGAACGGTGGGGAGATGGGGCAAGCTGGCCGGATGCAGGCCCCCACCTCTCTTCCTGTCATCACTATTCAAACAGCACTGACAGAAGCACTTGAGATGATGGGGATAGCAGGATAGCCCCTCCTGGCCTTGGATCTCCTCCGAGAAGGCCCAGTTCTTTCCCCTCCAAGCTCTACCCCACAGCTCCTCTGGGAGGAGTTGCACACAATTCCCACACCCCTAGATGGTTCAACATTCTTTATTTTTTTTAATGAAACTAGATAGCTGCTTACAAAAAAAAACCACACACATTTTCCCCATCCCCCTCTTCTCTCCCATTCCTATGTCACCCCCTCTTTTCCCCAGGCTAGCCTCTCATTCACAGTTGTCCATCGGTGGATGGGTTTGGTTCCATTTCGTTTGTTACAATCACAGAACAAAGTCTAAGCTGGAAAGACAAACACGAAACTGGAAAAACAAAGCCTTTGAGTACAGGGAAGGGAGTGCACTAGGTTGGCCTCCTCCTGATACCCCAAAGTAAAGCCATGATAACCCGCCCATGTTACCCCCCCCTTGCCTCCCACAATAATCCCCACACTACAGTGAAGAACACACCCCATCCCCCATGTTTGGGGAACAGAGGCTACAGACTGTAGAATTTCAGGCTCCTGTCCATGCCTGTGGAAGCGATGAATTTAGCATGGTGGCCAAAGGCCACACCTGTAGTCAGGCCACTGTGCTCTGTGGGGAGAAACATGAGAGGCGGTTAGGGGAGAGACACTGCGCGGTTCATTTGCAACTCATCCTACTAGATCATCTTCCCCTCCACCCCAGGGCCATACCACACTGCACATTCCCTGGGAACGGGATCTCTGGGACACAGGGAGAGGAGCAACCTGTTCTCCCACTCCAGGAAACCAGCACAGGCCTGTTAGCGTCTCCCAGCTGGGCACCTCACCTGTGAAGTGGAGAATCTCCGTCCACTGCTTGCAGATGTAGATCTGGACGTCTGTGCCGCCCAGGGCCAAGTAGGTACCGCTCTGGTCAAATATGAGGGACTTCACCTACAGAGAAGAGTGAGATCTAAGCCCTGGGCACAACTTTGTGCCAGATCCAGAGGGCTCTCTCCCTCCATCCCCAGGCTGCCAGGTGCAGAGGGCACCCATCTCTCTCTCGCACACACAACACCTTTGTCTATGCAGGCAACACCCTCCCCTGCACGCTCACCTACCAGACACCAGTTTCTGGATGGGGACCTTCCCCCTTCCTCTCAACACACACACTGGGATCCCTGGTGCAGGGAGAAGCCCAGCCAGATGAGGACACACAACAAGGACACAGAGGAAGAATTCCCCCAGGCCACACCCCTCAGCTGGATCCTCTCATCAGGAAGAGGCTGGGGAAGCAAGGACAGGGCTTGATGCAGCAGGAAGGTCGCACGCACCTCAAAGTTATTGTCCAGCTGCAAAGTCTTGAAGTTCTTTAGCTTGCGCAGATCCCAGAGTTTGACAGAGGAGTCATCAGCGGCCGGCGCCAGGTAGTAGCCGTTCTCGGAGAACGCGATGCTGGTGATGGGGCCAGAGTGCCCCGGGAAGTTGGCCACATTGGTGCGTTCCTGAGACAGACAGAGAGTTAGTCACCTGTTGCTGGCA